ACATGTCCAGAGGAGGGACAGTGGTTTAGATATGTCCAGAGGAGGGACAGTGGTTTAGATATGTCCAGAGGAGGGACAGTGGTTTGGATGTGTCCAGAGGAGGGACAGTGGTTTAGATATGTCCAGAGGAGGGACAGTGGTTTAGATATGTCAAGAGGAGGGACAGTGGTTTGGATGTGTCCAGAGGAGGGACAGTGGTTTGGACATGTTCAGAGGAGGGACAGTCGTTTGGACGTGTCCAGAGGAGGGACAGTGGTTTGGACATGTTCAGAGGAGGGACAGTGGTTTGGACATGTTCAGAGGAGGGACAGTAGTTTGGACATAACCAATATACCCACTGTTCCTCCTCTGGACAAGTTGTTGTTTTTTGTCATCATGTCCTGTGACTTCTACACTGATGTGATGTATTTTTTATTTTTTCCATACTTTTGTCTCAGATTTGACCGTTTTCATTCATTCTGACAGAAAACACTGAACACTACCATTTTCATCCACTAGATGGCAGCAAAGTAGTATGGCATGCCATTGTATCATGTAATAGGTTAACGTGGCTATTAATGACACAGTCAGCTTGCCATAGCCTGCCTCCTCCGTCCAGCTCGCCTGGAGCAACCGTCAGATCAGCTTCATTTCTCTGCACCGCCCGAGACGTGCAGCTCATTTCACCGTTCAAGTGCATTTATTAAGTAAAAGTTCAGCTGAGACACAACTTTACTGTAATGTGTAGCAAACAAATAATTGTTTTTAAGTGTTTATCTTGTTAAATTCTTGTTAAAGTCCTCTCGTGCACGCTCCTGCGGCCGCCATTTAGCAGCCAATCAATTTTGGGCACAACACCGGCCCACATTTCTGGGTTGTCAGCGGCGACACATAATAGAAGTGTCGTATACGGAGACGCAACATATTTATGTATTTTTCATTTTATTGGACGTTTTTGGACTGATGAGACTTACAGAGCGGGGCGACGTGTACGGTGGAAAATACGGTAGTTGTGGTGAGGACAGAGAGAGACGGAGGAGGATGAGTTGCTGTGGCGACCCCTGCAAAAAGAACAATTCCACCTGAAACTGAAAGTCTAGGACTTTTTTAAAAGTTGATATCAGAGGAGGGGCTGGTTCAACGATGGAGTTCAAAGTTTTATTTAGGTTGTTATCGTGTCTGTTTAATGCACTAAAAGCACTTTTATTTGTTTGTTTATGGATGTTGCACCGTGCTGGTCGTGTTTCTGCTGCTCCTCTGGAGGCGCAGCAGTTTCTTCTGTGGTGACTGTTCAGAGCAGGAAGGAGCAGCGAGGTCATCAAACTGCAGCTCTCCTTCTCTGACTCAGTGTCTCCACAGTGTCTGCTCCTATCTTATCTCTGCCCATACACTCTGCTTATCTCTGCCTTCCCCCAGGTGACACGCACACACGCACACACACACACACACACACACACACACACACACAGCGTGCTGTGAAACACCTCCACGTGTCTTCTTGACTCAGCATCTCCGTCTTCTCTGAATGGACAGGAAGACCAAAACATGGATGCCACTGAAGTTGTTCCACAGATCAATGTGTGGCTGTTATCTGCTCCATCTGCAGCTTTAAGTCTTTCTCTTGATGAGGTGTGTGTGTGTGTGTGTGTGTGTGTGTGTGTGTGTGTGTGTGTGTG